TGATGATTCTGCTCCATTAGCAAGACTCTAATGAAGCCAGTTCAGTTTGGTTGTGCTTTCTTTTTATGTATACTGCAGAAATATTTGCTCATAAATTTATTTTATTGCTGTCTATTAAAGACAATTTAATTTAATTGAACTTCCTGAGCTTTATGGAAATTTTTCTTTGCCTGTATTGCTCCCTTGACAGAATTATTTTCCACTTTACTTCTGCCTTTTTTTCTACTTTCAGAAAGACACAAGACCCTCAAAGCTAAAAACTGAAAGACAGAAATTTATTTTTTTTTTGGTCTGTTCTTAGTGTTTCATCTTAGCTTAGTTTAATGTCAGAATTCTGTGATCCGGAGTGCTAGCAAAGAATCTAATGATCTCCCTGCTTTCTGCTCTGACAGCAACGTGATCTTGTGGTGCTACTTTCCTTTACGTTTGCAACGACATTTTGTGTGTATCAGTAGAGAACAGAGGTTGAAAGTGCTGTGCCATTCTCAGGTGCTGGCTCTTGTGTAGGGTCCCTTAATGCAGTTAGTAACCAGTGAGCATCTTGTTTCCTAGTATGTACTGGTTCTGGGCTGGACTAGGTCCAGATTTCTGCTATTAATTGAAAGTTTTTCTAAATATTAGGTTGTAAAATAGGCTTTTCATACAAAATTTTATTAAAGTCTCTCCAAGCTGACGTTTGGCACAGGCTTTATCAGCTAACCGGCAGCAGAGCTACTTCTTCCCTCCCTCCCTTTTTTTTTTTTCCAGTTGAGTAGATTTTGACAGGAATTGCTGCAGTAAGACCACTATAGAACTCAAATTAGCTGTTCAAAATGCCAGGAATTTAACCCTGATTTGCATTTTCTGTTTTAGAAGAGACGAGGTTGGGGACCCACTGCTGCAAAATACAGCTGCTGCTTCTGCTCTTGTCGGTGGCTTTGCAGAACAGAATAGTTCTTCTGGCTCTCTAAGCACCTGGCACAAGCCCACAAAGAGTTTGGCATTGCATTTATCAAGGGGGGGAAACTCATCGCTGTTTCTCTCTGTGCCCATTTGGCAGGTTACAAAATAGGAGGGGACTTTGCTGTTGGCATTGGAGAGCTTACAGCTTGTATGAATGTTATCCTGGGTTTTGCTCGCAGTGAAATAGTCCTCTTGGGATCGTGAAGGGCATGTTCTTGGAAACACCACCACTTTTTAATGGTTGCAGTTAGAAATAATGGTTGGGTTTGTAACCTGATTTAACAAAAAAAAACCCTCAAAATTAAAAACCAAAACCAGCTCTATGAAGAAATTTTGCTGTTGGACAAATACGTTTGCACTAGTTGTATAGCAAATTTGGATACACTTTCATATTTTCTTTTTATAAAGTTATTACTAGTGTTAATGTAACTTTATACTATGAAAGAAAATTTTGGTGTCTATTCTGGTGATTTATACTGTACTCTTAAGACATTTCTTTTTTGAAAACAGGGGTCCCCTTTTTGTGGATCTGACTTGCAGGGATTATACTAAAACAAGATTAAGAAATCAGTATGGAATAGAAATGATACAATGAACACAACTATTCATCTCCTCATTTTTTTCTTCAATTTCTCTTGAAAAACTACTTACACTTTTAGTCAAATGGCAATTCCAAAGTATGATATAAACTGTTAATAAAATTAGATAGGTTTTCTTTTAAAGAGGTTTCATGAATTGTATGACCCACATTCTTCGTTTCTGCCAGTTACCTTCCTGATCTTATTAATTTTGCTCATGATTTGCAAATAGGAACAGCTGGAGAAGTTATCCAAGGGATGTCTTTTTTTCAGGTTCACTGGGAGTTAGGAGGTGGAATTGAACTGAATTTGCAGTCTCTTAAGTCCCATCTGTTTTCTGAGGTCACAGTCTTGCACGCAGGGACATCCCACGCAGTTCTGAGCACTTTATGACTGATAAAACTTTGCTTTGACGGGAGGGAAAAGAATGTCAAAAAAGCCATTCTGAGGTGTAAAACAAAGGTCTACTTAACCCAGTCACACTTTTTTTTTACAGCAGCCCATGGTGGATGCCTAGGAAAGAGGATGACAGCAGGGCAAACAGAAGTAGTGACTTTCCCCATCTGTACTCCAACTTTCGAGCCCTTTCTGGCTTGAAGGCTTTCTGAATCAGAGGTTCTACCTTCGTGTTTAAGGCTGTACCCTTGTGTTTGCAGGCTATGAGTTGTGCTAGCCTGAAAACTGACTTCTGTTCCCATAAAGAGCTAGTTTGTGTCGAAGGCATTTTTCAATTCACGTGGGTAACAGCTAACAGCCTATTGCCAACTCCCCCCCCATCTCTGGAATGCTGCTGAACTGCTAGGACTCTGGTTAGTTGATATAACAATAAAACTCACCTCATGATGATTAAAGTACTTAAAGTAATTAAAACACATTGCTGTTCTAAATCTATTTTTAAAAACACAGTGTTTTCCAGGATTAACTGCAGCATTTTTATTGGTTTTATTTCTGATTTCCCTGGATGTTTTTCTAGTCCTTCCTCACCCTATCAAAAATGGGAAAAACTTAGTCAGTCGCATTTTTATTGGTTTTATTTCTGATGTCCCTGGATGTTTTTCTAGTCCTTCCTCACCCTATCAAAAATGTCAAAAATGGGAAAAACTTAGTCAGTCTCTGTCCTCCATAATATGATTTACATGTCCCTGAAATGATTTTGATTTCCTAAAAATTGTTTGGATTTGGAACTACTTTGAAGTCTCTGTAAAGTTACTAACTTGACTTCTGTTTTCAAGGCTCTTCAAGAGGCAGTGACTGAAGAATTACAGTTCCAAAATTTTATTGTCACCTTTAATATGATCAAAAAAATAGATTTTTTTTTTTCTTTTGTTTAGCAAAGTGAGATGAACCCCAGTCCGAAGGACTTTGGGCAGCTGGAAGCTACATCGTGTAATGCTGAGTCTTTTTTTTTTCCAACTGAAATGTACCTTCTAACTTTTCAAATAAATGTCCCTGTCCAAATCCCTCAGTTTCCGCTAGCTCTGTCGCTCATTTGCCTTAAGCATAAGATTTTACCTTAATGCTGTTACCTAGTTTAGAGTTAGTCCACATTTATCATCTTATTTTCCTGTTTCCAAACCAAAATTTTATCTGTAGATTAGTTATTCCCCTTCAACCTGTGATTCCTTATCACTATATTCTGCATAGGAGTATTGTTTGTTGTATTTTTTATTATCGTCTTCAACATTTTACTTTTTTTCCATTTAAGAGATCCCTCCAGTGCTAGCTCTGAGGCATGTTTTATTGTTATATATTTCTATCATAAACCTACATTGTTTGCTATCCTTGTTTTTGCAAGAAAAGTTCCTTGGTAGCAGACACTATTAAACTGAGTGGGAAAAGAAAATTTGTACAAGTGGGAGAATGATTTACTGTTGACATAATTTTGGTTTTTTTTAGTAATGCAGTATTACCCATTGCATTACAGTGTGGACTTGCTAATTGCTTCGTTAACCTCTTAATCTGTGTTCAGGTTTTCATTGATGCTGTATTAGCATTGCATTAATTTTCGACCTTCCTTTCACTTCTTGAAGTAAAGTATTATTCCTTGTGCTGTTTGTTTCCTGGATCTACCAGCTATTTTTCTGTAATATATTTTTTTAATAATAATTTCATGTATGGCTCTTTGCTGTTGCTCTCTTACTTGTTAATATTACCTGATTTCTTACTTTAACTCTTATTTAATGGACTTGGCTTATTTAGAGTTTCAGTACTGCTCCTGCAAAGTCTATAGTGTTTTTGCTAGCTTCTCGTTCACGTAATTCCAGGATCTCAGGGATTTTTGGTCTGTTACGTTGTTATTCACGTGCCCAAGTGCATGAAGATCATATAGTTCAGCAAAATGTATTTCAGAAAGGAGTACTGATCTCTTCCATTTTATAAAAAAAAAATCAGGGAAACTTGATAAGTAGCTTGGACATGCAATCTACATCTAGGCATGTTTATGAATATCACTGTGTCAGTGGAACTTAAGCATGTGCTTAAAGTTAAGCACATATATTTAAGTGTTGCTTTAGATTGATGAGGGCTTTCTCAGCTAGGAGCAAGTTCCTGCTTGCAAATGTGCAGCATACTGTTAGCTCAGCCCTTGATAAAATAATATTTAACGCCACTTGTGCAGATGGTATTTATAGTTGATGTAAATGAAGAAACAAAACCACTGACTTGCCAGTTTGGCAGTTGTTTTTTTTGTAAGATGCAGGGAATGGTGCATGTTTAAGTTGAAGTTTAAAGACTGGTCGATGACTAGGTTTAACAGAACATGCTTGTTTTCTCTTAAATAAGATTATAATCTTTTGTCATAAATTATGACTAATTTGGCATCTTAAATGTGGAATTTTTCTCCATCTCCTGGAAAGTTTCTGTTCATGACTGTGCCACTTCTTTAAAAATCATTATTTTGTTTTGGTCTCTTCTGATGCTTTCTCAGGAGTGCTTTTAGGTTTCAATAACTTCTCTAACACAGAAATTCTCTGTGTGTTCATATTTTTCACAAAGTACTTGTTTCATTTGTATCATGACACATATGTGTGCGTGCACGTATGTACAATTTCATCTAATTATACGCAATTATATTTATATATGTGTGTATATAGATGTAAAAATTTTCACTATGAGACTGTGTGCTGGGTGCCATGATTCAATTTCTATGCACCAATATGTTTTAAAAGCTGTTGTTTTATCTGGAATCATGAATACAAAATTGAATTAGAAATTTATAGCACATAGTGAACATAGGATTTTTATGAAAATAAGCCAAACTATACGTGTTTATATTGAAATTATGAATGACTCTAAATAGAAAAAATATGGAGTAGCTGAGGCTTGATGTTGTTTATAATATGCTGTATTATATATGTCACAAGAAATAATTGTTTATACCTCTATTACTAAAATTTGGAAATAGTATTATGCTGTTCTCTCCATGCTTCAAACTCGGTAAAATTCTATAGAACAATAATTTTCTTTTTACTTTTTTTCTAGCACTTGCTTCTAGCAATCAAGTTTATCATGGCATTTGTAATTCCGGATAAACCAAAAGATATCCAGATAAAACTCGCCAAATTGGAATTTGAATCTCTAGAGGCTCTCAAACAACAGGTAAGAGCAACTGACACACAGACCAGTGAAAAACGTTGATGGCTTGAAGGAAAGATAAACTGGGGAGATTCTGCTTTTGGTTTAGGTAGATAAATACATAAATCCCGGGGTTTTGAAATTCCTATTTTGGTTGTATTAAGATGAGCTAACTAAAGCTCTTCTGCATTGATCCCACAGGTTGTGGTGGCAGAGCTGGGGTGGCTGAGTGGGGTGTGGAATGGTCACTGGTAGTGTACAGCGTACAACACAGAGTATTAAATAAATAGAAACCAGCACTGATTTACTTCTACATGATGGGTTGTAAACTGTAGCATTTAAGATACTGCTTCATTTTCTGTTAATCCCTCACTGTGTAAGAAGCGGAGCAGAAAGCTGGAAGTTTTAACAGATTCATCTGTCCTTTCAGCCCACCAGTGTATGTGAGTCGGCACCAGGAAAGTGGTCTGCCTTTTCAGACAGCTTGAAATTCCTGGTATGGCTAGTAATGTAGTGACTTGTAATGTCTCTTGTCCTTGTGTGTGCAGACACACTTTGTTTATCTTGTCACTTTTAAAGGACATTGGGCTCTATGAAACCTCATTTCATCCCCCGGAGGGGTTTGTTTTTGCAACACTAGGATTTCTTTCATTGCTGAAATACCATCACAAACAGTTAACTTGACTCTAATATAAACAGAAATTGTAAACAGGCTGACTTTGTCTGAAATAATTGTGTTGAGAACTAAGTATGTATGAGGGAATGGTAATGTTGCCTTATTTTACTGTCCATACAATATACTCATTTTATTGCATAAATAAGGTATATTTTACAATATACTTAACAAGCATTCCAAAGCAATTTATAAGAACAAGGAACAAGATTCTTCTAGGGAGAATTTCTGTTTTAACAAATGATTCCATCGAGTCATGGAGATTACAAGAGATGAAGAATTGTATGGGATTAGCTTCAGGACGATACAGAGATTGTACAGACCTGGTTTTGCAATGGCAGCGTTCTTTAGGAGTTTCTGACTGTACCATGCTGGATAGGATTTCTAAGCTAGTTTACAGATCAGAAAAAAAACCAGAACCCAGCAGCTTGGAGCTGCAGAGACTGGTTCACCAATTTATTGTTAGCTTCGATATTTTTACACTGCAGTGCATGGTTTTACATGAACATGTTCTTTGTGTGCACCACATGCAGATATGTAACCTCCTCTAGACTGTGGGGTTTTTTGTAGAATGGGAGGTTACTTTTTAAAACATCTACCATAGCTGCATATGACAAAACGACCTCTTAATTCTGGACAAACTGAGCCTGTGAACAATGCACTGCCTTTTCTAGTTAAAACCCCACAGTTTTGTGTGATACTAGAACATTGCTATTGAGGTCAGCGCTGTCTTCCGTAATCAGCCATACCAAATAAAATCCAAATTACAATTGAATCTAATGCCTGATAGTTTTGTTTTGCTTTCCTCAAGTATGTCAATGTGAAGTTTCCAGGAGCTGGTCATGGATCTCATGTGCTTTTTAGGTAATATTAAAAGGAACAGGACTACATTTTTATTTTAGTTGTTCATTCTCTGTTTTCATTTTGTAGACAGGCAAAACTAGGTCATCCACTGGAACCTTAAGCTCAAGTGAATATAGTCACCTTTGGTTATAATGTGCCAACTGGAATATATACGGAGTCTCTTTCACTATGAGCGTGCATGTCAGCAGTTAGGACTTCATCTCCTATCCTTGCATCTGCGCATTCCATACAATAATATATGCCTGATTCCCAGTTCTTCAGGGTTGTTTCATTAATTCAGTGGTGAAAAGTTCGTCTGAATTTCAGTAAGAACCAGAAGCCTGGCAGTTCTCACCTAATACTTTCAGGCTTCCTACAGGATCCGGGAAGAATATTGGCTGGTTTTCAGGTGCCTTGGTAGGTACTTTTAACACAAATATCTGCCGTCACCTTTTTAGATTTCCTCTGATGGATACTGCGCTATGTATCCCGTAGACATGTAGAGACTTGGGCTTTTTTTTTCTGGTGCCTTAGTTTTTAGAGTGAAAAATATCTGCATTTAAAAGTAATACATTGGCAGTTCAAAAAGATACTGAAACATTTATTTTAGAAGCATACCTTCTAGTTCTTCCTATTGTTACTGATAGTCATCATGGTAATTTATGCTGTATATCTTACTTTCAACCCAAAAAGAGCAACAAAATCCCCCAGAAAAAACTCTTTTAAAAAACAGACATAAAAGTCTGTGGTAAATGTGTTGTGGGATCACATGATATGGAAAAACTGGTTTATATACTTTTGTGCAAGTATGCATCACATTCCTCTCTTGATGCTATCCAGACATGCATGCCGTTGTGTTTTATCATATGAGCTTTTAGAGTACTGCTGTCTTGGGATGTAGCTATTAGAAGGGTATTAATGCTATCAGACTGTAAACCTCTAAGATGCCAAAATAGATTATTAGACTCCTTGTATTATGCATGGAGAGAAAAATCTCCTAATACAGCTGCTTTCAACAGTTGTATTGATTATGCTTGGGATCCTTAACTTTAGACAGTGTGAGCACCTTTACATTTTCATTAATGCTATGCTAATTGGTTTTTAACCTGGTGCAGTGGGAATGTAACTGTTCTCTGTTCAAATCCATTTGAAGACTAACTTAGTGTCTACTTGAAAGGGATTTTAGGGAATACAGTGTCTCAGCTCCCTAACAGAGATGGATGATCGTCATTAGAGCTTGTTAAAACCTCCTATATGGTGAAAAATGCCATAATTAAAAAAAAAATCATTTTATATTGGAATGATAATCTTGTTTTGAAGTTCTCAAACTTCAAGAAAGTTTTTTAGACCAGGTTGGATGGGGATTTAAGCAACCTTGTCTGGTGGAAGGTATCCCTGCCCATGGCAGGGAGGTTGGAACTAGGTGACCTTTAAGGTCCCTTCTGACTAAACCATTCTATGATTCTGTGATTTATTTTTTTCTAGGAAGTTCTGAAATGTTTCTTTGAAGTGTTTCTTTACATAGTTTGTGTTAAAACTGTTGAAGGGGAGTGGACTGTTGAATAAGTTGTAATAAGTTGATCTATTTTGAAAATATTTTGTTGTGATACACTTGAAGTATCATAACAAAGTTTGTTGACATAACTCAAGACTTAATACTTTAACCTTTCTGAATCCAAACTGGGGAATTTGCAACATCTGTAGACTTTGCTTCAAATTTCCCTGATGTCCTTCAGTGTAAGGATGGTAGAGGAGACTGGTTAGACTCTATTTTTGGGAGGGCTGGGGCAGAAAATAAATGAATGTGAATCCTTTAATAGAGGACTAAATATGGATCAAGATTTTTGAAGAGGAGCAGGAGCGATTCCATTCACACTCTCTGAAGTTTCTTTGTCACCTGGAAGGAAGCCTGGATGCTGGGCAACTAGAAATGGGTACTAGCTGCTACGAGGGTGATGGACCCTTTTCTGGTGAACATTGTGATCCTTCTTAGGGAAGCAGCTAGCTAGTGAAGCGGGGTGAGGTGAGGACCAATGCTGTAAAACTAGTGTGAGGACACTCTAGCATTTCCGAGGCAGTGGCAGTGAAAGCTACACTGGTAAGCATTTTAGCTTCTGGACAGATCAAAGCTTAATGAATAGACAAAAGGCCCTCATGGTTGGAGATGGGTCAGCAGTCTGTCCTTATAAAAGGTCTAAGTTCCAGAAACACAAGACAACCACAGATTAAATGGCATAACTTGCATTTTGTGGACTAGATTACAGTCCTGTTTTCAGGTATTACGAGATCTTCTCAGTGTTACCTTCTTCCAATTGATGCAAACATCGAATTAATACTTTCTTTCAGCACTGAAACTAGACCCACGCAAAGCAAATGAGAGACAAATTGGGGAAAAGTAATTATTCATGCAATTATTTTCTGAGCAGGAAATAGAGAGTAGCAATTCAAACATGATGTATAACTAGTAGCCATTTTTCAATGAAAAAGAAAGTTTGAAATGGTGGGAAATGGTGTATCTTTTCACAAAGTGCACCTACCAGACATCAGTATTTACTCTGAAAACAAAAGCTTGTTGATGTAAAAATGCTTGTGTTTTTTATGGTACTTTTGCGTTTAAAAAATCTGAATTATATAAATTGGATAAAGATGTTTTTCCTTATAGCATCTCCTTCACTATCTCGGCAGAATAAACCTAGCCCTGATAGCAACAGTAGAGAAATAAATTTTAGTGCAAGAGTTTGCTTTTTTGGAGGAACTTGGGGTGGGGGACGGGGGACAGGGGAAGGGACACACCTATCCTTAAGCTGGAGCAGAAGGATTTTTTGGTCTATACATCCCTTCCCAGTTCCCTCTGCACCCCCAGCCCTTACCTCCAAGGGGACCTAATCTATAATCATCCCATCATCCCGCTGCTCTAGCTTACTTTTGTTGGTGTTCTAGCCACTGGTGGCCAGTATCTTTTAAAAAAATCCTGCTGATAAGTGAAGCCTGTCAATGCTTCTGAAGCAGTGTGCCCATCTCTTGGGTATCTGGTGTCCATCTGTAAATTTGCCACCAGAAAGAGACTCACGATCGATAACATGCTCCTGAGTGAAGGGCCCGGTCAGCTGATTGACGGTTGTCATCCTTCCTCACCTGCAGTAATGAAAAGGATCAAGCTTATTGAACACCAGCCATGAAAATATGCCTCCTTTATTCTCCCTGGTGTATTTCTTTTCAGAATGAGATAAAGCAATGTAGTCATTCAGCCTGGGGCAAGTGGAGAAAGACCTTTTTTGCTCTTTCATACAGTTATCTCCCATAGTGATTGTACCATCTACATACAGTTGCTTAGTGGCAGTGGTATAGTGTGAATATCCATAAACTATTGCTTCAGTTGCTTTAGAGTGAGATCTAGGTGTTTAGAAGTCAGTAGTGCTGCTTCTTAATGATTTCCAGCAGAATACCAAATTTTCCAAAGCAACATTCACTACAATTTGTCCAGCGATGTCATTCATCTCCTGAAAAC